CCAGAGGAGCCCTCCCGCAGGCGTCTGGATGAGGGGTTGCTGCCGGGGCGCTGCCAAGCCCCTCGTCAGCGTTCCTCTCTGTTCTTTCCGGAGGTCCATGACGAGCTCACCAGATCGTGGCACGCTCCCTACTCTGCCCGCCTCCGTACTGCTTCTTCATCCGCCCTCACGTCCATCGACGGCGCTGAAGAAAAAGGGTACGATAAGCCACCTCCCCTAGATGAGTCAGTGGCCACGCACCTCTCCCCGCGTACGGCCATCGGCTGGAGAGCAAAGGCCGCTCACCCGTCCAAGCCGTGTAGGACCACTTCAGCTCTCGCTGGACGCGTCTACACTTCAGCTGGACAGGCGGCTTCATTCAGTGGCGGACCTCCAGGTCTTTCAGGCCAAGATCCTCGCATCCTCCGATGAGTCTGGCCTGGACCCCGCGACCCTCAGGGAGCTGAGGATCGCAACCAACCTGGCTCTGCCCGCCACCAAGACCACCGCTCAGGCGATCGGTAGATCGATGGCCAGCCTTGTGGTGCTCAAGTGCCATTTGTGGCTGATGCTAACAGAGATCAAGGACGCGGATAAGATCCCCTTCCTCGATGATCCAGTCTCTCCCAAGGGTCTCTTTGGTCGGATGGTTGAAGGATTCGCTGAGCACTTCACGGAGGCACAGAAATCGGCCCAAGCTATGCGACATTTCCTGCCTAAGCGCTCCAGCTCCGCTGCTGCCTCTGCTCGCCCTAAGTCTGCGCCGACTCAGCAGCCCGTGAAGCCAGCACCTGCCGCCCCCGCCGTTCAGCCTGCTAAGGCGCAGCAGACGCGGGGACACTCTCGCTTGGCAAAATGCTACCCTCTTCCTAAGCGCCAGGGACCCCGACCCAAGATTGCATTGGACCCGGCGCCTCAGGCGTCATCCTGATCTGCGAGACTGGAAGAAGATGAGGCCAGATCTCGCTACGGCCGGACCGCCCCTCAAGCAGCCTCTCTTAGACCTCTTGACACCCCATTCAACTCTGGGTACAGAGGGAAATGTGTTTTGTGCAAACAACGGGTCTGTTTATGCGACCAAGCATTCAGCTGCTGTTATAGCGGGAAAAATAAAACACAAACATTTTCAAAAAGAGAGCAAACTTCCTCTTCCATTACTCACAAGTGTTCTGCCCCCATGCGGCCAGTCACTCTACTTAATTCAACCCCTCGCCACGCAGCCCGAGGCCTGGCAGGCCATCCCCGGAGTGTCAAGATGGGTTATGGGGATAATAAAACGAGGATATTCACTCCAATTCGCTCAAAGACCCCCATGCTTCAGCGGCGTGGTCCCCACCTTAGTGCAAAGCAAGGACGCTCACGTCCAGCGCTCAGAGGTGATGAATCTGCAGGCAAAAGGAGCTGTGGAAAAGGTTCCTCCAGCCCAGAGCGAGTCAGGCTTCTACAGCCGTTAATTCCTCGTCCCCAAAAAAGATGGTGGCCTCCGGCCCATCCTCGATCTCAGACACCTGAATCACGCCCTCATGAAAAGGTTGTTCAGGATGATTACACTGAAACAGATCCTTGTGCAAATTCGCTCAGGAGACTGGTTCTTTTCTCGGGACCTGAAGAATGCATACTTTCACATCCAGATAGCCCCCCGTCACAGGCGATTCTTGAGATTCGCATTCGAGGGAGTGGCTTATCAATACACGGTCCTTCTCTTTGGACTGTCCATTTTGCCAAGAGCACGTTGTTCCCCAGCCAGCGAATATCGTTCCTGGGAACAATTTTCGACTCAGCCCAAATGAGAGCTGTAGTCACACCGGAACGGGCTCTGGCCATACGGAGGCTGGCGACCTCCTTCGAGATTGGTACCACTCGCCCTCTCAAAGCATTTCAGAGGATGCTGGGCCTCATGGCGGCGGCATCGCCAGTGCTACAGTTGGGTCTGCTTCGTATGTGCCCCCTTCAGCGCTGGTTGAAACCACGGGTTCCATTCCATGCGTGGCGTCACGGATGCCTGCAGATCAGGGTGAGTCAGGTCTGTGTAACAGCCCTGGCCCCCTGGAAGAACTCCCGCTGGATGGAACAGGGCGTGGCCATGGGGATGGTTTGCAGAAGGACAGTTGTCATGATAGACGCCTCCAACTAAGGTTGGGGGGCGCTGTGCGAGGGCATACAGACTTTCGGCCACTGGTCGAAGGCGGAAAAAGGCTTCCACATCAACTGCCTGGAAATTCTATGTCGCGCCTGTCAGTTTTTCCTGCCAGTCCTAAAAGGACACCATGTGCTAATCCGATTGGACAACATGTCTGTGGTGTCCTACATAAATCGCCAGGGAGGCCTTTTCTCGAAGCGTCTCTTCACTCTGGTAGAGCGCCTCCTGGAATGGGCTCAACTCAACCTGCGCTCGCTGAGAGCAGTGCATATACCAGGCAAATTAAACCAAGGAGCGGACATGTTATCAAGGAGCAATGTCCCCTCAGGGGAGTGGACGCTCCATCCGCAGATGGTTCAGAGGATCTGGGAGATCTTCGGTGAGGCCGAGGTGGACCTCTTCGCCTCAGTGCCCAATTTATTTCTCAAAGACCAGGGACGCGTTGGCCCATGATTGGCCCAACCACCTCCTTTATGCTTTTCCCCCGATCGCCCTGATCCCACAGGTAATCAGGCGAGTAAGAGAACAAAAACACAAGCTTCTCCTGGTGGCCCCCCTTTGGATGAACCAGCTGTGGCTATCAGAGCTAACTCAGCTGTTGATAGCGGCCCCTTGGCCCGTTCCGCTGAGACGGGATCTCCTCTCTCAAGTGAACGGGACAATATGGCATCCTGTGTGACCTCAGGAAGCTCAGCCCGTCTTAGCCTTGGGTTGTTGTTAACTTTTTAATGGGCATTGGTTGCTTATGGAAGTTTGATACTTTTAGTCATTCCACTACATTAGCACGGCGTGATTGTACTGTGTTCCCATATGCATCTAGCAAGACGCAATACGAGTGTAGTATCGAAAGGGAACGTACTCGGTTACTAACGTAACCTCGGTTTCCTGAGATACGGGAACGAGTACTGTGTTGCTAGCCATGCTATGTAGCTTCAGTCGAAGTAACCTGAGAAACCTGTGGCGAACGCCCACTTATATAGCCAGATGCCCCGCCCATTCTGGTGTGCTTTGGCGGGCTTCGTCGCCATAGGCTCGTGCAGCTCCGCTGCCTAGCCATTGGTTCGTTTTTAATACACTGCACGAACCAATGGCCATGCAGTTTTACTGCGTGAATGAAAAAAGGCTTCAGTTCAGAAGAAAAAAGGCTTTTTCCCATATGCGTCTAGCAAGACGCAGTACTCAAAAGCGTGACTAGTTCTTTAGGGCACTATTAACCAGTTAAAGACGTCAGGTTAACATAAATTGTGTATGTAAAGACAACCTTAACTTTTACCTCGAAACAAGCCATGTCAAGAGTTACCTGCAAAACGTTTCTTTTTTTCTATGGAATAATTACATGAATAAACAATTTCCTTTGACTTTTTATGTTGTAAACAGTATGTTATTATAGTGCAACATATACATACAGATCAATATTCAGTAGAAAACAACATAAGAATAAACTGCTAGTTAAATCTACTGCATTTCACAGATCAAGTTTGAGAAAATCTCCCATATCCTGTACAGTCTCTTATTATACTTATTGTGCTTCTGCCCCACAGTACTGTGTTGTTTATATTCTGAAAGAAGTTATGTGTTACATGATTTGAGAAATTTTTAGTGGCTGCAGGTTTTTGTTGGAGTGTTCTTTCATTTATGCCTATCTTTCTAAACCTCTAGCCCCTGACTGAACTAAAAACAGAGTCGTAGCTTACTATACCACTTTTATTTTCACTCATTTTAATGTTGTCTTGCAAAGCCAACAAATAAATAAATACACCTCGCACATGTGGGATTGTGAGCAGGTGCGTAGGATACAGGCAATACAATGGAAGAAGTAGATAAGGTCTCGATTCCCAAATACTGATGTAGCATGCAAAACCCTATTAAATAATAATTGCCGAAGAAGATGTTATTTAATAAAGTTTTGCAAGCCAAAGCAGAATTCTAAAGTGTCTAAACATATTTTTTCTTTGTTAAAGATGTTCTTCCTTAGCACTAAACCTCTTTAATAAATCAAAACTCACCCGAAAGCTATGATGAAAGCTAACATTCTATGATGGTCTGGTTGACTGATAATGTTCACAGAAATATTTCACAGCTGGTTAACAACAAAGTCTGATCTTTGTTATGTAAGTGAGTCCTGGGAAAGACACAAATAAGAGTTTTTAAAACAAAGCTGAATGCTACTTTTTCCAACAGCAGTCTTCTCATACAGAAGTTAAGTTGGCCTAGGGCATGATGGGACCTGATACGTGGATCGATAAAGAGATACACACAACTATACTGTAGATGTAAGCTCTGACGTCTCTATGAAGCAGGGTCCTGGAGGTGGGAGAGATTAACAAAGGAGTGTTTCAAAGACTGGTGGGTTGCAGGGTGTCTAATCGGGGCAGGAACTGCTGACTGGTTGTGATCATTTACAGTAAGTCTTAGTACAGTGCTTTCTGTCCTTGGCTTTCAAATTCTGACCAGGCATCATTTAGTTCCATAAAAATCATCTTGGCATATTGTTCGTAGGGCTGTCCAGTAGCCTGCAAATGGGAAGAGAGAGAAAACTGATGCATTTTGTCTTTAAAATGCCTTAACTAGAGGGGTCCTATCATACGTACTCGGTTACTAACGTAACCTCGGTTTCCTGAGATACGGGAACGAGTACTGTGTTGCTAGCCATGCTATGTAGCTTCAGTCGAAGTAACCTGAGAAACCTGTGGCGAACGCCCACTTATATAGCCAGATGCCCCGCCCATTCTGGTGTGCTTTGGCGGGCTTCGTCGCCATAGGCTCGTGCAGCTCCGCTGCCTAGCCATTGGTTCGTTTTTAATACACTGCACGAACCAATGGCCATGCAGTTTTACTGCGTGAATGAAAAAAGGCTTCAGTTCAGAAGAAAAAAGGCTTTTTCCCATATGCGTCTAGCAAGACGCAGTACTCAAAAGCGTGACTAGTTCTTTAGGGCACTATTAACCAGTTAAAGACGTCAGGTTAACATAAATTGTGTATGTAAAGACAACCTTAACTTTTACCTCGAAACAAGCCATGTCAAGAGTTACCTGCAAAACGTTTCTTTTTTTCTATGGAATAATTACATGAATAAACAATTTCCTTTGACTTTTTATGTTGTAAACAGTATGTTATTATAGTGCAACATATACATACAGATCAATATTCAGTAGAAAACAACATAAGAATAAACTGCTAGTTAAATCTACTGCATTTCACAGATCAAGTTTGAGAAAATCTCCCATATCCTGTACAGTCTCTTATTATACTTATTGTGCTTCTGCCCCACAGTACTGTGTTGTTTATATTCTGAAAGAAGTTATGTGTTACATGATTTGAGAAATTTTTAGTGGCTGCAGGTTTTTGTTGGAGTGTTCTTTCATTTATGCCTATCTTTCTAAACCTCTAGCCCCTGACTGAACTAAAAACAGAGTCGTAGCTTACTATACCACTTTTATTTTCACTCATTTTAATGTTGTCTTGCAAAGCCAACAAATAAATAAATACACCTCGCACATGTGGGATTGTGAGCAGGTGCGTAGGATACAGGCAATACAATGGAAGAAGTAGATAAGGTCTCGATTCCCAAATACTGCTGTAGCATGCAAAACCCTATTAAATAATAATTGCCGAAGAAGATGTTATTTAATAAAGTTTTGCAAGCCAAAGCAGAATTCTAAAGTGTCTAAACATATTTTTTCTTTGTTAAAGATGTTCTTCCTTAGCACTAAACCTCTTTAATAAATCAAAACTCACCCGAAAGCTATGATGAAAGCTAACATTCTATGATGGTCTGGTTGACTGATAATGTTCACAGAAATATTTCACAGCTGGTTAACAACAAAGTCTGATCTTTGTTATGTAAGTGAGTCCTGGGAAAGACACAAATAAGAGTTTTTAAAACAAAGCTGAATGCTACTTTTTCCAACAGCAGTCTTCTCATACAGAAGTTAAGTTGGCCTAGGGCATGATGGGACCTGATACGTGGATCGATAAAGAGATACACACAACTATACTGTAGATGTAAGCTCTGACGTCTCTATGAAGCAGGGTCCTGGAGGTGGGAGAGATTAACAAAGGAGTGTTTCAAAGACTGGTGGGTTGCAGGGTGTCTAATCGGGGCAGGAACTGCTGACTGGTTGTGATCATTTACAGTAAGTCTTAGTACAGTGCTTTCTGTCCTTGGCTTTCAAATTCTGACCAGGCATCATTTAGTTCCATAAAAATCATCTTGGCATATTGTTCGTAGGGCTGTCCAGTAGCCTGCAAATGGGAAGAGAGAGAAAACTGATGCATTTTGTCTTTAAAATGCCTTAACTAGAGGGGTCCTATCATATTTTCAGGGTCAATAAGATTTTTAAGAAATTAATTAATACTTTATTCAGCAAGGATGCATTAAATTGATCAAAAGTGACAGTAAATACATTTATAATTGTGCAAATAAAGAATTTTATAGATAAATGCTGTTGATTATAACGTATAATATACTGTAATTCTTCATAGTATCCTAAAAATATTAAGAAACACAACTGTTTTCAACATTAATAATTATAAGAAATGGTTCTTGAGCACAAAATCAGTACATTAGAATGATTTCTGAAGGAACGGCTGTGGAAAATTCAAATTTGCCTTCAAATTAATAAACTACATTTCAAAATATATTCAAATATAAAACCGTTATTTTAAATTGTAATAATATTTCACAAATATTACTGTTTTACCCTATTTTTGATCAAATAAATGCAGCATTGGTGAACATAGGAGACTTTTTCAAAAACATTTAAAAAATCGTACAGATCCCAGACTTTTGAACAGTAGTGTATTTTGCAACTGTGCTTTTAAGACTTTATTGTTTCGCTTTAAAGTGCCCCTATTATACCATTTTTAAGGTTCTTAATATTGTTTTGGGAGTCATGCATCCAAGGGCAAAAAGCTCTTTCATTTTCTCAAAATATGCATTTAATATCATCTCACTTTCAACGATTCTCAAATGATTTGTTCGAAGCAGTTCTAAGATTCTGTCTCTCTAAACCCCTCCTTTCCATGAGCCTGCTCTGCTCTGATTGGTCAGATGGCCCAGTCTGTTGTGATTGGTCTACCGCGTACAGCGCATGTCAGAAACGATACGCCCATTGCCATAGTTATGTCTTTTGAACGCTCAATAAAAAATATAAACATCTATTATTTATATTTTTTTGAGCGTTTTGTGAATCCTGTGCTGAACTCCCCGACATGATGTTTACCACACGAACAAGCTACAGTGTTTGAGGGTGGGTCAAGTTGTTCGCGGCCGGCCAACTTATTACACAGGCGGGCATTATGCAAATGTGTTACCCCGTGACACATTTGCAAGGGAAGTGGGATTTGAATTACTGATGACTCGTTTCAGCTGTGCAGAGTCGATTCTTTCTTTTCTGAGACAATAACTATTTATTGTGCACTTTGTGGCTTTACAACTTTGCTGATTGTTTACATTCATATACAGCTACATTACACACTGCATATTGCATGGCAATATTCGAAATGGCATAATAGGGCACTTTAAGTACTTCAATGTTAACTGAACAAATACGTCTCTCACCTTGTCAGGGTGCACTACCAGCACAGCTTTTCGGTAGACCTTCTTCACCTGCTCTGGTGTGACAAGGTCAGCCATGCCTACAGATTTCCAGCGTGTCTCTCCCTCCCACAGCACTGTGTGCATGGTGGACAGCAATGCTCTGATGTTTCTCTCCTTCCCCTCAATCCAGTCCAGGATCTGCCACAAATAACGACATTATATTAAAACATCATGATGTGATTCACACTTAAAAAGAGGTGATTTTAAAGAGGTGATTCACCTCTTTAAAAAGAGGATCATGTAAGGGACAGTGCACAGTCAGCTAGTCATTATCACAAAATAAACAGCAAACATATAAAACAAGCGACTGACCATCAGAATCAAATATTCCAATCAGCCATGTAATATAAATATCAGCTTGTGTGTGTGTTTTATTTTTCACCTTGAGTTTCTCTGGGTCCATTTCTTTTGCCATCTCCTCTTTTCTCATTTCTGCTATGGTTTTTGGCCCCTTCTTCTCCTTAGTGCCAGCAAAACCTTGGCCTGAGAGTAGGTCATCAAAGTTAGTGTCCGAAACCTTTGGTCTGGTCCCTGAAAGAAAAAGGAAATAATTAATCATGTTTGAGTTGCTATTTATAATATTTTTTGTTGTTGTAGTAATGAAAATCTAAAGAAATTATTAAGGAATACACAATATTGATATCACTAACCAATATTGGAGATCTTCAGTATTACTTCATGATAGATGCATAATTGCATGTGCTTATTTCCTCTATATAATGTAATTCATTTCATTTTAATTAAATTTTATTTTATTTTAAATTAATTTAATTATCACTATTAAACTGTAATCATTAGTCAGTCTAATTAATTAAATTTCAATTAATTTACATTTACATATATTAATTTAGCAGACGGTTTCAATATCACTATTAAATGTAATCTTTGGCAAGTCTAAAAAATAATATTGATCTTTCATATTATATATGCATGTTGTGATGTTGCTATATATATATATATTTATATATATATATATAGAGAGAGAGAGAGAGAGAGAGAGGCTTATAATGACCGAACATCCCTAAAAATATTAGAATTTTACAATGAACACATGCGCATAAGCACAACCTCGTAAGACTGGACCAGATTCTATGTCGAGTCACTAGACAGTGTCCAGTTATTCACCCATGTTAGGCTGTGCTTTTGCCCCAGTGGCTCCTGCCGAAGCTCCACCCATGCTGGAGAATCTGACATTGTAGTTGGGTCTGTTCTGTGGTGAAGTGTGAGGCATAGAGGGTCCAGGCGCTTTAGGTGGGGTCTGGTGCTGTGCACCCTGGGCCTGTGGCTGCCACTGAGCCCCACCTCCAGGCTGCCATGAGGGGAAACCTGTGCTGGGATGCCAGCCTCCAGAGGCAGTGTGCTGGGGAGAGGGAGCAGGACGCTGGGGGGAGCCCATGGGTGGAAACGCTCCTCCGGTACCAGTAGGTGTGGTGGGCTTGCTGGAGAATCCCGAACCAGCTTGGAATGAATACACAGAGGTTAACGGTGATTCCATGATGAATGTATTAAAGGGAGAGTCGACCCAAAATATGAATGTGAAAAAAACTATGGAAGTCAATACAATTTTAACATTTGGGAGTAAAATTTTCATATTTGGCTAAACTATCCCTTTAAAATAATGCTCTATAAGATTCTTTTCCATTTACCTCCTCCCAGACCGGCTCCTAGGTTACCCAGATCAGCAAACGGGTCCAAAGTGTTGGGTTTGGCCTGGTGGGTGGGAGTACCATGAACTGAGCTCGTTGGGCTAGTGCTGGCAGACTTACTTCCCATCCCAAAACCTGCACCTGGTAAGACAAATCAAGATTTATAATTTAGTACCTTGAAGAGAGAAATTTAGATTTAAATCAAGATATTTTAAATGATCTGTTTTTCCAAACATTTGGTAGTGAATTCTGCTTCTGTCAACATTTAAAACTTGTCAGCCAGTTAACGTGAACTGGCTAACATAAGGTTTTTGGTTATGTCAAAATTGCAAGAATGATTTGTGATAATGTCTTGATAGCATTAGCAAGAATAGGTAAAAAAGGACAAACAAATCAGTAATGTCCTTTTCTAGAAAAAGTTTTTTATGAATTTATGGATGTTTTAAAGTTTCCTGTATAAAAAAAATAATGATTATTATTATTGCAGTTATTATTGCAAATTTTGTTAAACAAAATTAAACATTTGACTTTACATAACATTTTTATATATGGAAATGTATAATAATAAATATTTGTTGTATTTTGTAATAATTTGATAATAAACATTTAAAAATATATATTTTAAATTGAATTAGATTTATTTATAAATATAAATATATTTTATTTAATTTCATTTCATTTATTTTATTATAAGGTTGTGTGTGTGTGTGTGTGTGTGTTCTTGTTTATCCTACATTGTGTGGACCAAATGTCCCCACAAGGATAGTGAAACCTGAATTTTTTGACACGGGAAAAAATATTAAAAATACTAAAGGAATGACTCAAAATGATCAAATTTATCTGAAAGTGTAATAATGCAAACAGGTTTTCTATAAGGGGTAGATTTAGGGTTAGGCGATAGAAAATATTGTTTGGTGTGTGTGTGTGTGTGTGTGTGTGTGTGTGAAATTTAGAATTAATTTGTTGGGGCCAGTGAAAATATTGAATATTGAAATACTGTACATATTTGACTTACTGTTGAGCCCTGTAAAACGCTATTCAGAATAACTATAAGAAGTATCCAGCTCTATTGATTTAAAAACCAAATAGTCAGCCATGTAATGTTTCACAAGACATTAACATTTATGAGCTATATGAGCTCATCACACCAGTCCAGATGGAAGGTCAGTAGTGAGTCATTTTCTTGTTAGGTGTAATATCAGAGGAGGCCACCAGGAGTCCCTGTGACACATCTTGTGTTTCTAGCAGCACTTGCCTGCAGGTGCTGGTTTGTTCCATTCCCAGGCTCCTGTAGAGCTCTGCTGCTGGATGTTGACAGTGGGAGTAGTGGGCGGCACAGGTGAACTGCGACCTATGAAGGGGAATTAATTTGTTGGGGCCAGTGAAAATATTGAATATTGAAATACTGTACATATTTGACTTACTGTTGAGCCCTGTAAAAAGCTATTCAGAATAACTATAAGAAGTATCCAGCTCTATTGATTTAAAAACCAAATAGTCAGCCATGTAATGTTTCACAAGACATTAACATTTATGAGCTATATGAGCTCATCACACCAGTCCAGATGGAAGGTCAGTAGTGAGTCATTTTCTTGTTAGGTGTAATATCAGAGGAGGCCACCAGGAGTCCCTGTGACACATCTTGTGTTTCTAACAGCACTTGCCTGCAGGTGCTGGTTTGTTCCATTCCCAGGCTCCTGTAGAGCTCTGCTGCTGGATGTTGACAGTGGGAGTAGTGGGCGGCACAGGTGAACTGCGACCTATGAAGGGAACATACTTATCTTGACACTCTCCAATTTTGACCTTTATTTACATATTCAAATACTGTACTGAAAATTAGACAGTTAATACAAATGTGAATGGTATCATGCCATATAATAACCACAGGACAATGACAACTTTGGACTTAGTTTCTCACATTTCTTAGACTAAGAAATTACTGCAAATAAAAAAAAAATATATATATACATTATCGTTTAAAAGATAAAGGTTTTTGAAGACTCTTTTGAAGACACTAAGGCTGCATTTATGTGATAAAATGACATCATGACAGCCCTGATTGGTTAATGGCACGACAATAACTTTCATCAGTGACTGTAACATGATGTGAAATGCAGTGAAAATCTGTCACTTGTAAAACATCTAATATAATCTAATAAAAATACATTACATTGGCTATGATATTTATGTGCACTCTAATTGGTGCCTGATTATAAATTATTGAAAATTCTAAAACAATTATAATGCTATAGCAAAAAAAAGTACACATTTTCCTTTTGTTGTGTTTTCAAGCTAACAGCTTAGCATAGGGCTTACTGGTTAATAAAGCTCTAACTTTAAAAACAAGATATTATGACAATGTGCTACATTTTTGTTAGACAATGAGGAAAAGGGATAGGATTTCGCTTATATTTCTTTCATTCTCTCAAGGCTCTGAGTAACAGAATGTAGCAATCTGCAGTATTTGGCATCATGCAGTGCTTCTTTCCAGCTCTGTCGCATGCTTGAACAATAAAAAGCGCTCTTTGTTACAGAAGTATTGTTTCAAAGCATTCATATTAAAAAGCATATGGCACTGGTGTGAGTGACTCAAAAATTCACATGCTGTTTCCATAGGATATGCAAACTACCGCGAACACTACATCCAACAAACAGACTCTATACAATTTATGTTTGGAAACAGTGCAAAATTGTGCTGCTTTACTCCATATTGATGTTAATCTGCCTCGCATATTGCCAGATACATAATACAGGGTATCAGCTGTCCTTCACAGAGCACCTGCTGCTATCGACCACACACACTGTATTTAAAACAATCGAGCTCAAGGCCCAATAATAATTCCACTTTCTCCAAAACAACAAACACATCAGCACTTTAAATACGATGTTTACTACAGAGCTGTTTTATAGAGATACATTTGCCAGGCTATTTTGCTGATCATATTCTGGAGGATTTGACACAAAAGAGCTTTGCTGGTTGTTATGGTGATGTTGCCCACACACTGACAGTACTGAGAGGCAAAGGCGCATGCCTTACCCATGCCCATGTTCTGCATTGTAGGAGATGGAGATCGTGCAGCATGCAGGAAGGGGTCTGGCTGCCCCATATTACCTGGACCCAGGAAAGCTCCCATGAAGTCCTGCGGCTTAGGGGCGGGAGCGGGTCCAGCCCCAAATGGGTCAAAAGCTGAAGAATTGAAGAGAGGATTCCGTTTCTTTTGCTGAAATGCACTTTTATAGGACAGATAGTTCTGACTCTCATCTGATTGGTTAAAACAAGTTCAAAGCTGTTGGGAAATGGCCAATAAAATAGTATATTATTGCACAAAGTTGTCATGTTGCTTATGGTAACTGTAAACAACCCAGAGTTAGACTAAGAAAGTATTGCTTTATATATATATATATATATATATATATATATATATATATATATATATATATATATATATATATATATGCACATATATATGCGTGACCATATTTTAAGGTCCAATTCTTGCTATTAACAGACCATTATCTATGACTTTTGCTTCAATAAACTTCTAATTTGCTGCTTATTAAGTTTAAGTTTAGGTATTGGGTAGGTATTGGCTAGGATTAGAGATGTAGAATATGGTCATGCAATATATTAACAATAGGCATACACACACACACACACTACCATTCAAAAGTTTGCAGTTGGTTAGATTTAATAGTCTCTCATGTTAAGGCTGCATTTATTTGGTCAAAAATGAAGTAAAAACTATTATTGTGAAATATTATTACAATTTAAAACAACTGTTTTCTGTTTTAATTTATTTCAAAATGTTTTTTTTCCTGTGCAGGCCAAGCTGAATTTTTAAGCAGCCATTATTCCAGTCTTAAGTCTTCTAATGCACTCTTTGATGTATGTGGTAAAATAATAATATGAATAAAGTATCATAATAATAATGTAACTTTTAGTTGAATTTGAATGTTTTTATTAGTGCTGTCAAACGATTAATCACATCCAAAATAAAAGTTTTTGTTTATATAATATATGTATGTGTACTGTGTATATTTATTATGTATATATAAATACACACACATACAGTAAATATTTTTGAAAATATTTACATGTATTTACATGCATTTATTTATATTCTTATATTATGTATTATATATAAATATATTTAACATATAAACATAACATATGATATTTTTCATGAATATATACATGCATGTGTTTGTATTCATAAATAATAAATATACACAGTATACACATATATATTATGTGAACAAAAACTTTTATTTTGGATGCGATTAATCGTTTGACAGCACTAGTTTTTATTATATTGCTGTAACAGCAATTTTATAAAAGCAATATACCACGATATAGCAGTTTTATTTTTTTAATTACTGTTCAGTAAATTAGACACTCCACTTTGTGTCTTGATGTTGAATTAATCCCATTTAAATGAATAATTCATTCATTCAAATTGCTCACTATACCAAGATGCTGCTTCACTTCACTGACTCCTGACAAACAACTCAGCTAAATCTCTTCAACTGTCTGTCTTTGTTTAAAAAAAATCATTAAACATATTTACTGTCTCCAGATCGAGGTGATGGACAGGGTGAGGAGGAGGCTGCGGATCTCCGCGGGGTAGACTGAGCTGAGGCGGGGCCACTGGCCGGCTGTGGTGTGGGAGGAGCTCCAAACAGGTCCCCCAGCAGGTCTGTGGTGGTGCTGGTGGTCGGAGGTTGTGGGGAGGATGGAGGAAATGTAGCGCCATCACCATCCAGACCCAGCAGATCTACTTCCTCAGCTGCTGGAGGAGGGGCCGCTGCAGGCTGGGGCTCTGGTTTCTTAGCTGCTTTTGATTTCTCATTGCTCGTGTTGCTCTGCTGACTAGAAAGGGAGAGCATTTCATCATCTGACGGTTCGCTCTCCTCATTTGGGCCCACTCTGCCTCCGCAACTCCCATGTCCCTGTGCAGGATCTAAGGGACAGACCGGAGAAATGGTTAGATCTAAAGAAGAACATCAAATCAGTCCATACGGTTTGTGTGTTATTTTACACGTTTCTGAAGCCAATCAACAGCTCTAAGAGAGAAACATAATACTGTACCTCCCAAATTCCTTCTTGCTAAAATATATTTTTTAACTACTCATCAAATAATTGTCTAACGTCAACTACAAATCTATTAATCAACTATTTTCTGTTGACTCTCACAAGCCTCCTACACTACATCTTACCTTCCAAGTCCAAGCCCTCCATTTCATCTTTTCAGCAGAGAATAAAGTACATTAAACAGATGGTGTTTAGTTTAATGGGGCGCAGACGCTTAACAGAATGCCAGTGAGTGACTGATGAGTTGACTTGTTTAAAGGTTCACTGAGCTCTTGATGGTGACTAAACTCCACAAGGTCATTTTGTCACCCTCTGCCGATTTTGTTTTTTAAAGAACAAATGCTGAACTGCTGTTCTTTTGAACTTTCTATTCATCAAAGAATCTTGCAAAGAATTTGTCATAGTTTACAAAAAAATAAAAATATTACACTGCATATCTGTTTTCAATATTGCTAATATTAGGAAATGTTTCTTAATAAGCACTTGAGCATGTAAGTATGTCATCTGAATAATCGTGTGAAAATCACTGAAAACTGGAGTCATGGCTGCTGAAAATTCAGCTTTGCCATTACAGGAATAAATTACATTTTAAAATATATTAAAAAGGAAAACAGTTATTTTAAATTGTAATAACAGTTCACATTATTACTATTTTACTGTACTTATGATCAAATAATTGCAGCCTTGGTGAGCTTAAGAAACGTCAGTCTATTTATGAGATTCAAAATGGACCTAAATGCTTATGTATATACTGAAATAGGTTAAAAGGGTGACTTTTGTTACAATAGAATTAATTCAATTGTAGAAACAAAATAACAAATGTTTCATAACATGGAACTTAATGTGCACAAAATTATATTAAAATCATTATTATATTCACAATGTTGCTTTATATTGTTAGCAAAATCATACTGAAAAATGTATTGTGAATAAAATATATCAGTCATACTTCTAAAGCTCTCATCAAAAGGTTTTTTTGTTTTAAAGAAAGAACCAAAACCATATATTTGGCTTTTTTGTGTTGTATAGCATTATACAGCATAGTAATATACAGGATTACCTGCAGTAGCAAGTGAATCTTGGTGTTCCTGATGACAGGAGAAAAGCACGCTGGGGCTCAGGTCTTTGGTGGGGAACTGCTCCCACGGTGGCGTGAGATCTTTCTGTTTCTCCGTACTTTCAACCTCAATGTCTAACAGCACATGAAACAGCTGTGGGTATTTCTCTGGAGAATCACAGGCATCCAGCTCTGTCCTGGACAAACACACACAAACACAGACTTCAGTCCAGAGCTGCAAATAATTCAATAACATGTCCATCATTTTTATTTTTTATTTTTTTGAAAACAAAGAGTGACTGGACATTTTGTCTATCATTATGTGGAACAGGACTTTGCATCAATTTAAAAGCTAGATTAACTGCTTCAGATTACAATGTGATGATTACGAAAGAAATGAAAATAAACACTTACTTGATAAACTTTAAGACTGTGGTGCCAGGGGCGATGAAACCAGTATGGAATTGAATCTGGAATATCTGGGTGTTTGTTACCTGCAAACATAACAGAATTTAAACACTGCCAACCTTTTAGTGACTAACAACTAGCAAGAACAAAAAGCCTACAAGTTCTGACTCATCTATATAGTTTTCTTCTCTGCTACAGATTTAAATTCATTTAATCATTAGTCTCATACCTTGGCCTGCAGTGCATGGGAACGCATGTGATAGACTGAAATCACCACATCTCCTTGGCCACTCACACTCACAGGAAACAGCACTTTGCCCTCTTGAACCCTGTGTTCCCTGAGAGCAACAAACATGAAGAGATACTTCACCATTACACAAATAGCATTATCATTTTCAAGTGCTACATAAAATATCTTGTAGGCAATTCAGAAATGTCTTAATTATACATAATAAAACATTGTCATGGTAGTATAATATTTTGCGTTAGTGTATTTTTTTATAATATATTTCATTTTTCAGTATGAATTATTCATAAACGTGTTCATCATACAAACAACATATGGGATTTTTCAAGAAACATTAGATGGCATTAATAATTAATCTTTGAAATACCTTATATTTATTAAATTAACTTTCATTTTACAGGCCATATGGTGGAAGAACACATTTTCAAAATGGATCCAGATGACACGATGATGGAAAGCTTATTTAATGTTATTATGTTTAGTTTGTTGTGCGACTATGTTGAATATCTTTGAATTTCAGTTTAGTGAATTCTGTCACTTTCATTCAACCAATTCCACTCCATTACAACTTCTTGTGAGGTACGGCCAAATCAGATTAAATTCACACTCATTACTGTGTTTTTGAATTAAGAAATTCGGAATTTTGCTAAACCGTGTTTCTTTTTCCAAACCACATCTGAAATGAACAAGTTTGTGAAAACTGACAAAGAGCCATATTTGATAGGATAATATACGTGACCACAAAACCAGTCATAAGGGTCAATTTTTCAAATTGAGATTTATACATCATTTGAAAGCTGAATAAACAAGCTTTGTTAGAATAGGACAATATTTGGGCGAGTTACAACTATTTGAAAATCTGGAATCTGAGGGTGCAAAAAAATCTAAATATTGAGAAAATCACCTTTAAAGTTGTCCAAATGAAGTTCTTAGCAATGCATATTACTAATCAAAAATTACATTTTAATATATTTACAGTAGGACATTTACAAAATATCTTCATGGAACATGATCTTTACTTAATATCCTAATGATTTTTGGCATAAAAGAAAAATCTATAATTTTGACCCATACAATGAATTTTTGGCTATTGCTACAAATATACCCCAGCGACTTAAGACTGGTTTTGTGGTCCAGGGTCACAAATGACCTTTCATTACATATAATTTCAGTTACGCAGATAATATAATTTAAATGAACCATTAGTAGAGCGTCTGTATATAGACATGCTTACCTCATTCTCTCGTACTCCTGAGCGGTAGAAAATATCTTGGTCTCGCCAATAAGTACGTCACAAAATGGCCGACAGCCACTGCGCTGTTTGTTGAAGCAAGGAACAGGACTCATAGTGACGGATTTAATGACTAGGGGTTTGGAGTGTGGTATGGTTGGCTTCTCTGAGACTAAACTGCATACATAACCTATGTACCTAAATAAATAAACACACATAAACAAGATTGTCAGTGGTTTCACTCCAAAGGGGAAAAATACCTTGTGTGGGACGTTTCAATGAATAGCGTTTCATTCCTTCTGTTTACAACTGAGAATGGACATTTCAAAGACAAAGGTACCATATGCCAAACTTGCACAAAGTGAGCAGTTTTATTAGTTCATAATTTACTGTATTATTATTGTTGAGTATTTATACCATTCAGTAGTTTTTAATCAAAGCTAGACTTTTCAGAGCTGCGATCTGATTGGTTGTACCTCCTATGGGAGGGCCACAGGCCAGATCCTGGCCTCTTGGAGCTGAGAAGCTGCATGGCTGGCACCGGGTTGGCGAAAAGGTGGCAGAAACAGAACATGGCACAGACCAGCACGCCTGAAGGAGCTCTGCCATCCTGGAATGTAGGCAATGAATCTGGTTTTACAGTCATGTTTGTTTTATGCTGAGTAACCACAACAAAGAACAGACACGAACATCAAGAGACCTTCTTACCGAACAGGTGATCACACACACATTCTTGGGGTTTTGCTTGAGCCAGTTGTACATATTCTTACACACAGCAAATAGGTTGTGAAGACCCGGGGCCTGCCTGGAAGGCCAATTGCATTCAGAAACCTGCAGACGAATGAGAAAGAGAATTATTCTCACTGAGAGGAAGATGTGTGAGAGAAGAAATAGGAAATAGTGAAAACGTCTCGGTTACATATGGTAACCCTCGTTCCCTGAAGGAGGGAACGGAGACGTCACGTCGGATGACTGACGAATTGGGATCTCGCTTAGAGAGACCAATCTACTTAGAGTCCCGCCCCTTGAACGCAAACTGCAGGAATGGCCTGTGGCACGTAAGGATCGAAACATGGAAGTACACGTCCTTCAGGTCGATCGCTGCAAACCAATCTTGGGGACGGATACACCTGAAGATGCATTTCTGCGTGAGCATCTTGAACGGGAGCCTGTGAAGGGCCCGGTTCAAGATGCGCAGATCCAAGATAGGTCTCAACCCACCGCCTTTCTTGGGTACAATGAAGTAAGGGCTGTAAAACCCCATCCTCATATCGGCTGGAGGAACCGGCTCTATCGCGTCCTTCGCCAGCAGGACTGCGATCTCTGCACGCAAGACAGGGGCATCTGCTGCTTTCACTGAAGTAAAGTGGACACCCCTGAACTTGGGAGGGCGCCGGGCGAACTGAATCGCATAGCAGAGCCTGACGGTTCGAAGGAGCCATCGAGACGGACTGGGTAGCTCTAGCCAGGCTCCCAGACACCGCGCAAGTGGCATCAACGGAACTACAGGCGTACCCCCAGTGGGGCAGCGTGGAAGAACGCAGGGACCCAGCCCGGGCGTCTCGTAGCCGGTCTGGGTGTGTGTAACACTGACCTGTGTTCGAGCAGAGGGTGCATGGGTAGTCCGTTGGTTCGTCCTCCCAATCCGCCCACTGCTGCTCACTGGCGAGAGAGGAGGGTGAGTGTGATACGGCACTGGATCATCCACAACCCCCCGTCCCCTCTGGGGACCCAGAGATAGAAGAATTTGCTCTTTTGTGGAGAATTTGGGTACCACTGACCGAGAGGCCGGGGGCCGCCCTCAGCGACGAGCGGGCTGAGGAACTGCCACCGGCAGCCGGGTGGAGGCAGCAGCTGCATGCCGGGGCAGGATATACCTGATGGCCTCAGTCTGCTTTTGGGCGGCGGAGAACTGCTGGGAGAAGTTCTCCACCGTGTCGCAGAAAAGGCCGGTCTGGGACACGGGGGTGTTCAAGAATCGTGTCTTGTCCGTCTCGCGCATGTCGGCCAGACACAGCTAGAGATGGCGCTCCTGGACCACCAAAGTGGACCCAGAGACCGCGCCGTAACCTTCGTCGCTCGTAGCGCGAGGTCCGTCGCGGTGCTGAGTTATTTGAGAACTTCCGAGTCGTGACCACCCTCGTGCAAGTCCCTAAGTGCCTTGGCCTGGTGCACTTGCAACAATGCCGAAGTGTGTAAGGCGGATGCAGCTTCTCCACAGGCCGTATAAGCACTGCCGATCAGAGCCGACGAGTGCCTACAGGCCCGGGAGGGGAGCAACGGTTTGCCCCGCCAAGTGGTAGCGGCATTTGGACACAATTGCATCGCAACCGACCGCTCCACCTGGGGAACTCCCGTGTACCCCCGCGCTGGACCCCCATCAAGGATGGTGAGGGAGGATGAGCCACTGGGGCGGTTTCTGGCAGTGAAAGGTGCTGTCCATGACCCAGTGATCTCATCATGCACCTCCGGGAAGGAAGGCACTGGGGTGGGGCCCTGAGAACCAGCGCG